GAATTAAGCTCACCATGTCAAGTGGGTCATAGCCCTTGACTCAAATTGTTGTACTTGATTTTTGACGGTGTTCGGTTAGAGGGAAATAAATCCTCTTGCCCCTTGGTAGACGTCTGGTTCAACGTGACCCTGCATCAAAGACCCTCGAGATCCTTGAAATGGTATGGTTGATGCTATTGAAAATTCTATGTTATGATGTTATGTACAAATATGCGAGGTAAGCAAGTTTATATACAAATAATCATATTCACACAAAGCAAACAAATCCTTAGTTTTAGGCTTGCATGGAGTTTATAGGTAATTACCCTCTTGAAGTTTAGTTGGCTTAACATGTCCTATAAATAGTAACCAGGTTCTAAGGGGTCTCAATATCACTGATCTTTCTCCCATCTTCGTTCAATAGGAGATTGACTCGCAACCAAACAAAGCTCAAGAGTCTAACCTCAATGAGTGTAGCATCGAGTATCTACCAACTTCGGATTGCACCAAAGTCGGTCATCTCACTATGTCCTAATGGCCAAGTTGGTCAAGTAAGGTTCTAAGGTTAGTTGATGCTTCATGACACCACGCGGAGGCCCCGTACTCTCCTTGATTGACTCGAGGGTTACCGGTACCAACCAAAGTGCCACATCAACGTAGCTACTTCTTCAACCGTGTCGGTATACCCCACACAATTCCCTCACAGTTTATTGCTACTTACCTAAAAGGTGTCCCCAAATCCGGGTGTAGGATTTAAAACAAACCCAAACAAGGAACCAAAATGTAAATCATGCAAATCAAACAATGTAAGCAAGTAAATATGATCTAACCCTAAGGTAACCCCACTTTTATAGAGTTATTTCCCCAGCAGAGTCGCCAGTTCTTTGATATGGTTGGAGAATTGACTTGATTGTTTTGTGTTTGTGTTCGCAAATGTTGCGGTTTAGCAAGAGTCGCCACCGAATTTTCTTTTATCCAAAAGGAAAGGTGAAAAAGCACAGGAAAGACCTTTAGAGATGTTTTCTTGAGTTCGGGAGGTAGATTATGAAAAGGGAAGGTATTAGCACCCTTTTCATCCATGGTTTTCCATGGGCTCTTAGTTACTTTCTAGATCACTTGCTTTTGTTTGAATGTGCTTGTGGTGTGGTTTTTGAAAGTATTTTGAAAATGTAACTTTGTAATGATTCTCGTTTCTATAAGAGCGCGTACAAAGTGTTTGTTTCGAAAATAGTTCAAAGATGTGTTTGTGAGATGTGTTTTTGAAAGTGATTTTGAAAAGGTTTTTCTTTGTAATGGCTCTCGTTTCTATAAGAACGTGTACAAAGTGTTTTCTTTTGAAAAATGTTTCCAAAATGAGAGTTTCGGTGTATGAAATGTTTTTTTTGTGAGCAAGCGAGCAACTAGGAGAAAATCTACCTACTCAAAAGGTCTTAAATGTTCTTTTCTTCCTCCTTTAGATGTTGCTATCTTACCATTGATTTGGTAAAAATCCCCATCGTTGGATGTAAAAGGGACGGACGTTGGGACGTTTGTATAGTCATAGAAGGCAACTCATGGAACGTTTTAGCAAATGTAGTTTTAGGGACTAGATCATTTACCAAAGGCAACATCTAGTGTCATCGAGGGACTACGATCTTTTATCGAGGGTATTTTTCTAAAACGCCCATGTTCGAGGGGCATGACTATTTTTTGATAGGCAACAAGTGAGATTACCCTAAGGGTGAAACAACCGGCTGAAAATCATCAAACAATGAAGTCGCCATCAAACGTCTTTTATCCCACAGGAAGGGAAAGGTAAACATCGAGAAAACTTGAGAAGGGAGAAGTCAAGGTCTTGCGATCGAAGATCGGGTAAGGGAGTCTGTTACGCGAGGGGAAGGTATTAACACCCCACACGCCCGTAGTACTCTACGGTATCCACTCTTGTTATCTATCTTATGGGTGTGTTCAATCTATGCTTACTGTTTATTACTACTGAAGGGAGAATGCCTGTAAAAGAAATGAGAAAAGAATGTAGGGAAAATAAAAGTTGTGCTCGTTCGGGCCCTACCACAATGCATACATATCCCTTTTAAGGAATCAGAACAGCCATAGTTCGGCTGATATATTTTTGTTTGTTTGTATTTTTTTTAATGAACAGTATTAATTTCGCCTTCTGCCGCAACTCGACCTCTGGAGACTTATGCGCCAGCACAGAAGTGAATTAACACACTCTTTTGAAAAGGTTCTGAAAGAAAGGCCCGAAGGAAAAAGAGTTTGTGTTGATTGGTATTTTTTTTGTTTGTAGATAACAGCTAGTTAATCTCAAGGGAGAGATATTATCCATTTCTCTACTTATTCGTGAAATGATTCTTTGAGACTTGAACCATTCCAAGGCTTAGAATAAGAGAATAATAAGATCGAGAAGAAACCCGCTTACCATCTCCCAAACTTAACAAAACATGATTCTTGTCAGTAAATTTTTAAGTATTTAAAGGTTTGTAAGAAAAATAAATTTTTTTTGTTGTTTTAGTGTAAATGAAAAAGGAGAAGAAAAGTTAAAGGGAGACTAACCTACTTCTAAACCTAATGTTATCGTACTTCATATGACCTATGGGAAGAGATAAATGTGAGGTGAAAATAGAAAGAAAATATACCAAGCGAGTACTAGCCCGTAGAGCAAAGCAAAAAAGTAAAGAAACCCGATGATCACGCGAGCTGCTAGCATCAACAAAGAAAAGAGTCAGAAATCCAATATTCGGAATAATTATTGAAGCATCATCGATGTGAAAATAAATCACAATCGAAATTTCAAGCGTATCCGCATATCGCATAATAAACCTGCACAAGATTTAAATCTCAACAAGCAACGGTGAGTCATGAATTTCAGATAATCGGATAACCATGAATTAATTCCTAAAAACCAAAATAAGAAAAATCTAACAAATTTTTCTGGTTTTTTTTTAATTATTTTTATTTTGTGAAGAAAATTAAAACAAGTCTAAACTATAATCAAAATTATTCAAAAATAAATCGCAAATAGTAAGAAACAGCCCAGGGGGTGCAATCTGGGAACAGGAGATACAATAAGTGAACCAACTCTAAGCCCAACTTGGAACTGGCCCATAAGCAGTTTTTTTTTAGTATCAATCAGGCTTCAGAAAAAACACATATGAAGGCCTAATGAGCAAAGCCCGTTTTGGGTCCAAGTGCCACAACACTACCATCCAGATTTTTATTATATGTTTCAGCATGATTATCAAAAATAATAATAATAAAAAACTCAAATGACAATTAAATCAAAAGACGTGGATTAGGTTTAAGAAAGGGGGTGACGGTTAGACTTTCCAAACATCCTCCTTCTTTTTTTTCGACCCTTCCATGGCGTCGGCAATAGCCTCGAGTTCAATTTGTGATTCTCAACCTCAGCGTCACTCTATCATGGTGATCTTGCTCTCTGATCCAAATAATAGACACGAAAATAGTGTATATGATGAGGAATAGGAATTGCTTACCTACCAGAGAACTTCAATGGTTTTTCAACAGCCGCGAAGACGAGAAATCTCAAACAGGTAAGATTTTCAGTTCTTCTTCTTATATACTTGCTTCTTCTGCTTGCGCGTTCTTCCTCTGCTTGCGCGTTCTTCTTCTGCTTCTTGTGTTCTCCGCCTTTTCTCCGCTTTTACGCACGATGCTATTGAGATGAATGAGGTGAAGGCGTGAGATGAGTCTGTGAATGAAGTTGTAGAGTGTGATTATGGTTGAAGAGGGTTGAAGAAGATGAAGGTTGAGGGTGGAGGTGAAGAAAATGGTGCATGGGAGAGATGGTTGAAATTGAGAGAAAAATAATGGTGAACCTTGAATTACGGGGAAGAAGATGGTTATATAGATTGTTGAGGATCTGGATTCAGTTATGGAGAGTGAATCTGGGTTGTTAGATTGGGGAGTCGGTTAAGGAATCAATGGTGAGATGAAGGTTAGCAAAATGAGTTAGTTAGAGGGGAAATTTTGTTAGATGTGTTAGTTATAGGTTAGAGACTGGAAGTTAGAAATCTGTTTGAGATTGATGTTAGTCTGTTATGGAATGGTTAGAAATTGGTTATGACAGTTAGGAGTAGTTTCAGGTTAGAAGTCAGTTGGAGCCATTAGTTAGGTTTGTTTTGTAATTAGTTATAGGAAGAAGTAGTTATTGAGTCGGTTAGGGATTCTGTTTTCTTTTGTTAGCAGTTTCTGTTAGGAGTTTGTTACAGGTGGTTGGGTAAGTTGGTTATGAAATCACTCCACCCAGTTGTTAACACATGCCTCTTCGAATAAACATGTCTGAATTTCCACATTCTTCCATGCACATCCATGGGATATATCTCCTGAGAAGGAAGCTTATCTGAACATTCTAATGGAGGAAGAATTATTTCTGCACAATTCTTAGGACAAGCGAAACCACCACTATTTGCATCAGATTGTGTCAAGGTTTTTATATAAGATTGCATCAGATTATCATCGACGCTAGCAATAGCGCCATCATCAAAATTAACATTTCTAGGATGAAAAGGAAAGAGACTTAGTTTTGCATGCACTTCATCTGTGTCGGGATCAGCCCTATAATGGATAGCTGCAACTCTGCATGGAATTTTGGATGGAGTGTTGAAGTTAGCAGGAAAATTGACAGGTTCATATGTATGCTCGGAATGGCCTTGAGGGAAGTAGAAGATCTTAGAGTTAAGTTTTGGAATTTGCACAGTTGTTCCAGCAATAGCATGCCATAGCTGAGGATCCACAGCCTTGTTCCCATCTATCTTCATCTTCTTTGACTCTCTATTACTACCTTTCGTAGATGTTTCCATTTTAAAATCAAATTCTTCCCTTATTGCCTGATTCAGCAATCCGTAAGAGAGAGGTGTGATGGAGAGAGTTAAGCAACTGAAACTTTCAACTATGTATGAATTGGGTTTATGAATAACAAAGTTTACAGGTTTGATGCAAAAGTGAGTCTCTGTAGTTTGAAAGAGTTACACTAAAGCAATAGGTTCAGTTGAGAGGAGACGTCAATATATGTATGCACGATCTCGCAAATTGGGATTATCTGTCTCTATAGTGGCATTGTTCAAAACAACCTGAATCACCTGTTGTGGGCTCTCAGTTGGCTTCTTAAGAAAAAGTTTGACAGTAGCAGTTAGCAACTGTAGTTGGACAAGCGTAGGTTCTTCAGTAGCGTATTTCTTAAATCCCAACAAAACCTGGTCTATATTTTGGTCTGAAGCAAGCTTTATCATAATTTCTAATTTCTCAATTTCCGCATAGATAGGGTCATTGGAAGTGACATCCTTTAGCTGGGATCCTGATGCACCTTCAGCTATAGGAGTTGCTTTTGCAGATGTTTCTTTTCCATCCTTACCGACTTTGGCATCTTTAGCAGGAGGAGGTAGTGGTGGTGTATGCTTTAGTTTTAACAGTATTTGCCGCATCCTGGAAAGATCTATGGGTTTTCCAGGCTTAGGGCCTGGAATAACAATGATTGATGGCTTCTTATCCTGATCCCCTTTTTTTTCGCCTCTCTTCTTCTCGATGCTAGGAACCTCACGAGGAATGAGCCCTGCAATTGTCTTCCAATAAGCTTTGTCTGAATTCTATTTTTAAAAACTATGCAGAAATTTGAATTGGATTGAGTTTATTTTGTAGACCCGGTACCGTGGCATAGAGGCATAAATATTGAAGTTCACACATGGCAGCATTATTGAAGATGATCAAGGGGAGAGAACTTAGAAGACCAAGCTAGCATACTTTTAGGAACCACTAGAGAAAGATCAATTCTTTTTTGTATGATATTTTTGTAGAGATGATGAGTTAATGTAATGACTTGAAGCATTATGGCATATTTTGTAATAACTTTTTTTTTGTTCAAGGCTTCCATAGACAATTGTGAATGAAACTGAATGATAACACGAAAAAAGCCTCATATTTTGAATTGGTTCTTAAGAATATTGAAATTTATATGCTAAGAAAACTTGAACCGTGATACACATACTTTTGGAATTTCCACTTAAAATCTTGTCTTAAAAAATGCTCGAAAACCTTGAATGACATTGCATTTTAGTCAACTTGAAATCAATGGTCTTGAACTTGGAATTTTGAATCTTGAGCCAATTGGAACATGAGTCTTCCACTTGAAATCGAAAGTGATAGCATGCCTTGAATAATGTTTAAAATGTTGTATTATTTTGCCTTGGTAGCTTGAATTTCAAGAAATCAACCATGGATGGATATTTAAATTTACACGCTTGATTAATGCACCCCAATCCTAATTGAAACCATAAGTCCAAGTTGACTTGTGAAGAAATCCACATGGACTTTCTTCTAATACTAGTATGAATCACCTCCTGTCACAACATGTGCTTGAGAACCTCAACTAATCTTGAGACCATGTCTCATAACCTTTGCATTTACTTATACCTTGCATTACAGGAATTACTTATGACATTTGCACCTTAAGAAACTTGAATGGATACTTCCCTAATCAAATCCCCAATTCCCCATGAAACTTTAACTTATATTACAAATAACAACTCGAGATAACAATAATCCCTTGAGGAATCCTTTGAAGATATATATTGAACTTGAGACATGGGAGGAATAACCACCAAGATAGCCTTGAGGAAGATATCCTTGTAGCTTGATAAGGAAGCGATCCACAATAATCAATCAAAACCCTAAATTCGCAATTCAATGTACGAAGCAGAACCAGAAGAATCAGTCTTGTTTGATAAACACCTTGAACCGAAAGAAAACCCTAGCTTCACAATCAATGGTCCTCTAAACAATGTGCAACAAAACCTGAATTGGTTAATTGAAGAGTGGATGAATGTCATGTCATAATCATTAAGCCTGATCGAGTGATAAGCATACTTATATGAGGAGACGTCTTGATTCGAAGCCTACATATGTTAGTTCACCCCCTGGAGTTCTTGACCGGAATGACCTACAACCAGTTGTTCCTCAGAAGATACTAGCCCTGTAACTTGATGGAGAAGAAGTCCAAAAATGAGCATGAACCAAAACCCTAATTCCATAGCCTTATACCCCATGGAGACCCTGAATAATCAAACTTATTCAACACATATTGTTGTACCCCAAAATTTGCCCTCTCATTTCTCAAGGATTTTCTCACAAGATCTTCTATGACATCAAGTTTGCAGCACTGATACATCAATTTAGACTTGGAATTAGCAAAAAGGAAAAATGGTCAATTGCATACTAGAAAGTCAAACTTTGACTTTTTGGTCAACATTACATCCCAAGGATCAAATTTCATCAAGGCATTCAAAAATATGAAACTTGATCAGTAAGAAATCAAGAAAGTCAAAATTCAATGTGAAAGTTCAAACCCTTCTAGACTTAGAAATTTTTCTAAGTGTTTTTTATACATGATAATCTCATTTCTTCATGCCAACTTTTCACCTTGATGCAAGATGATTCAAGAGAAGCTTCCAACATGAAAGTTGTAGATCTCCATGATATCTACAAAATTTATTTACACAACTTCTCCTAAATATGCTTGGATTTCAGGTTATAAATTCATGAAGTCATGACATTTTCATTTAAGCACTTAGAGAAATTTTCAGAGTTTTGGTCAGGTTTTTATCCCAACTTCTTGCCCATTTTTCATCAAAATCCAGTTTGATTTAACAAAAGTGGCCAACATGAAAGTTATAGAGGGTGTTTCAAGCTTTCCAAAACATCAAAGAGCATGAATTTATCATATTTGAGCTATAAGATACAAGGATCTAAAGTTGAGCATCCATTCTTGAATTACAAGCCATTTTTGTTGAAGAACACATAATCCAATTGGCATGATGTGCTGCATAATCTCACTTTGCAGGTCTTGTGACTTGCAAATCTCAACATAATTTAATGTTTAAACAAGAGTTTGAGCTATTACCCAAGTGTTTGAGCCATTGTCCAAAAGATCTTTCCATTTATGGCATAAAGGCACCATTGCTACTCTTGAAAAGCAAGCCTTTTGGTACAAAGTTTGTCTTGAGCCCATACCTTGCTTGTTTCTGATTTCACTCCACCATAAAACATGGAAACCAACCCCTCTAAACCAGGAACTTTGGTACTTCACCTTGGGACCATGGAGTACTTGACATAGTTTGATACTTACATCCCAGCCAAACCGAAACATGTTGTGTTGTAAACATATTCAGCCTTTGTTCACAAACCTCCTGCCTATAAATAGAAGAAGCATTTGCAAGACAAAAAGGTTAGAAGAAATAGAAAGAAAGAACAAGGAGAAAAGCCATAAGTTATATTGATAAACCCTTAAAATCTCATATTCACAAAAAGCCATAACAGTCCATAAAACCTCCACTCTTGAGTTTTGAAGTCTAAACCTTTAAACCTCTCACACTTTGCATATTCCATCTAAAAACCATCCAAACATTTCATACCATACAGAGGTTGTTTAGTAACCTTCAACAAAAAGGAAAGTTTAGCAGCCTGTTGGAGCTTCCTTAAAGTTCATACAACATCTTGAAGGGTATTTGGATTCAAAACCTAAAGTGCAGTTTTAAGGTAAGTCATCTTTACCTTGTCTTTTTCATACATCAATTTTTATGTTTATAGGATGTAGCAATCACTATTTTTGAAGTTAATCATTTATTTGTTGTTCCTGTTATTCATTCATATGTTAAAAACTAACTGATGTATGCAAAGAATGGTGTTTAAGGCAGAAAAATGCAGTATGTATCGACACATATCCACATGTGTCGACCCATCTTAGTGAAAATACAGGGTATGAGTCGACACATGACCCTCATGAATCGACCCATACTGAGTTCAGGTCATAAAACAGAAACTGGAAAGGACTATGAGTCGACACATACGCATTCCGCATCGATGAAAAAAGGTGTATGAGTCGATACATCCCATTATATGTCGACTCATACTGAACAGATTTCCCTTTACAGGGGCAAGGAGAAGCTATGTGTCGATGCATAGCAGCATGGGTCGACACATAGCAGTTCAGAAGTGCATTTTTCCTTTATTTTGCACTGTTTTCACATTCTTTTTATTATCATTCGATATGGTTGTAATATTTTAGTTCCTACTTCACCCCCATTGTTAAATTGTACCCCCACCCCCCTAAAGGGATGTAATAGCTTAGATTTTACTTTCCGCCTTTTACTTGCTTCTCATATATTGCTAGTAAATAAGTGTGTATGGCAAGATAAAAACAACAAAATAGACAATCCTAATCAAAGACAAAACGCATGCAAATAACACACTTGCACATAAGCATCCTTAGGGTTTCTCCACTTGGTTGCCTTATACAAAAATAGCCATGTTACGCATGCGAAGTATCTTGGTAAAACAAACAAATATAAGATCATAGCCCCTCGATGACGCTATTCAAAAGTTTCCTAACAAAAACGATCTTGGTCCCTCAAAAATGATAAGATACTTTCCAACATTGCTATCATGGCTATACGATGACCCATGCCCGTCCCGTTTACATCCAAAGATAGGGTTGTTTACCAAATTAATGGTAAGCCAACAATGTCAAAGGAATAGAAGATGCATAAGAAAGACATTTGAGTAGGTAGATAGCTTCTAAGTTACTTGCTCCATTTCAAACAACAATCCTTTCTATTTTCAAAACAAACACATACACATTTCAAAAACATCTTACAAACATTGAAAACATTTTCAAAAAGACAAACATCTTTGTATACATTCTTACGAACGAGAATCATTACAAAGATTGCCTAAACGAATGGTCTCTTTTACAAAATACTTTCAAAACCACATCAAACACCATTTCAAACAAACCAAAGCAAGTGATCTGAGCAAGTAACTAAGAGCCCATGGAAAACAATGGATGAAAAGGGTTCTAGCACCTTCCCTTTTCATAATCTACCCCCCGAACTCAAGAAAACATCTCAAAGGTATTTCCTATGCTTTTTCACCTTTCCTTTTAGATAAAAGAAAAGTCGGTGGCGACTCTTGCTAACCGTGACATTTGTGATAAAACTCAAAACCTCAAGTCAGTTCTCCCACTGTATCACAGAAATGACGACTCTGCTGGGGATTCATTATAAAAGTGGGGTTACCTTAGGGTTTAGATCACATTTATTTGCTTACATTGTTTGACTTGTTTGCTTTACATTATGGTTCTTTGTTTGGGTTTGAATCCTCCACTCGGATTTGGGAAACATTATAGGTAAATAGCAATACGTTGTGGAAACAGTGCGGGGTATACCAACATGGTCTAAGCAATAGATATGTTAGTGTGACATATTTATGGGTACCGGTAGCCTTTGAGTCAATCAAAGAGAATATGGGGCCGCTGAGTGATGTCATAAAACACTAATGAACTTCTAGAACCCTTTACTTGACCAACTTGGCCTTTAGGATGTAGTGAGATGACCGGCTTTCGTGCAGTCCGAAGTTGGTAGATACTCGATATTACACTCATTGAGGATTGGTTTCTTGGGATATTTCGGTCGCCATTAAAGAGGCTTGAACTGAAACAATGAACAAGAAAACAAGCCGGTGATATTGAGCTCCTTAGAACCCGGTTACTATTTTTAGGACAGGTTGAGCCAACTAAACTTCAAGAGGGTACTTACCTATGAAACCCCATGCAAACCTAAACTAAGAACTTGCTTGATTTTCTTGTACATATATACTTGTGCATAACATCAT